GATCCGCCGGGGAGCCGGGGCCTGGTGTTTGCGGGGCCGAGCCCGCGTCCGGGTGGGGGACGGCCCCCGCTGCGGCTTTGCTGCGGCTCTGGCTGAGCAACGTCCCCCCCTTTGCTCGCACTACGTGGGAGTAAGGGAGAGGGGGAGCCGAGGGGAACACAGGGGGAAAGAAAAAAACTCAAGGGGAAAAAACCCCAACAAACCCCAAGGGGGGGGAAAAAAAAAAAACCCAAACAAACCACAAACCTACAAACACCAAGGGGGGAAAAAAAAAAAAAAAAAAAAAAAAAAAAAACAAAAAAACCCCCCACCAAACAGAAGACCTTTCTGCTCAGGGCAGTTTGCTGGCACAGGAGCAGTTCGCGCTTGCAGAGTGACCCAGGCTCACAAGCCGCGAGCAGAGGTCCCCTCACCAGCCGCCCCACAGAGCCTTTGCACAACCGGTGTTAGTCAGTGGTGCAGCGGGTTTCCTAAGGGCTGCCCGCTTTGGGAAATGCTCGGAACAGGATGAGAAGTCAATGCGAAGAGCAGTAGGCTCTGGGAGCTCTGAAGTAAGGGTCTGTACTGGAGCCGTCCTGGAGCTGCGGTTGTGCAAGAGCTACTCCAGTCAGTGCCCTTGCTGTGGGGATTCAACATGCAGCTCTCATGGGGAATGGACGTGAGTCTGTAATGCTTCGAAATTGTTTGGACTTGCAGAACTGCATAAATATTCTTAATGTCCCCATTTAACTTCTTCTATGACATGTGGAAAAAGGATGTGGCTGACAGTATTTCTGAGGGCTTTGCTGTGCATGTGAGCTTTGTTTAAAAAAAAAAAAAGTCACCATAAAAATGAAACAATTTCCAAATGGTTTTGTCCTCTTGAGGCCCAAAATAAGGACTTGGTCGCTTCTTACCTGTTAGAGAGTCATCCATGGTTTAGTTGTTTTTCTTAAGACGAATCTTTTAGGATAGCCTTCTGCTATTACAAGTTTTCCTCGACCTTGATCTGCGTATTATCACATTTTTAATGTTATGCATAGAAACAGTCCTCTGACATTGTTTAGTTTTTCACACTGGTTGTGTCATACCAAGTTCAGTCTTAGATTTGTGCAGGGCTACTCTATTGTATAAGATAGCAGTAGAACATACCTGCTGCCTCATGTCAATCACCCAGGCATTGAGGGTACAAAGCAAATGGAGCATAAAGACGTGAGAAAGCTGAAGTTTTCTGTATTTTAAAACAATAATTATTAATAAAATGTTGAGATAGAAGAAATATGTTCTTTATAATACACATTTTTATACCTGTACATGTCAGCACAGAGTTCATGTGTGGTGGTTTGTGTGGCATTCTGCAGTTCCTTTCATCTCTTACCTTTTGCTCTCACTGGATAATACAAAACTAGTTATTCTTGGGGACATCAGTGCCCATTCTTCCTCCATAAGATTATTTCTTCTACCTTTACAAGTTAAATATTCATTTACCTTCATCTTCCACTTCACCTTTGAGGAAAGTCAGACAAATGTGGAGCCATTCAGAGGTAATCTAGCAGAAAGCAGGTTTTGCATTATTTCTAGTTAAACTAAGCCTGAATAAGCCAGACAAACAAATGTCCGCATATTATTTCAAACTGTCTTTTAACTACACTGAGATCGATTGTGATCATGTGAGCACACTGCATCGAGACAGAGTGGTTTAGCAAGGTGCCTTTACATGAGTCATTGTAACCAGCACTTTTGGTTAGCCTTCTCCAGCTGTGACTCGTGCATAGTGGCCTAAGATAATGTGTTTTAGTATGAAAGCGGGCATAGACTTGGTGAGATGCAACAGCTCAGTTGACAGATGGTTTAACATACTACCTTGTTAACGCAATCATTTGCAGCTATGTGAACACATCTGCAGTGATCTGTGCAGAGTACACCAACTTGCTTTAGCATCCTGTTGCTTTATAGACATACCTTATACAAACTGGATGCTGCTTTCTCATACACATAGACCTTCAAACAGAAAGAAAATAATGAATGAAAGGTCAATTTAATTCACGTTCACAGTAAAGGTGGATAAAGGATTCTAACAGAAATAGTGTTTGAGAGTCAGTACCTTATGTCATGTTCAGTTGCTATCTTATCATCTACCATAAATGTTATTTATAGTAATAATATAAACGAGCCCGTTCAGGGAAAAAAAAAGTCTGATCAGGAAAAAAAGTAAAGAGTATTAGGTAGCAATTGAATCCATCTTCCTGAACTAAAGGCTAGGCAAGTGACAGCTATCACTAAAACCACCCTAGCAGATACTTCCATCTAATACTGGTTTTCTTAAGACTTTATGCCATTTAAAAAAAAATCTACATGTATGGCCAAAGGCTTGGGCATGTCACTTCTCGCATTAATTTGCCATACCTGAGGTTAAGTGCATATGGTAACCTTTGTAGCGTATATGTTAACACACAGAAAATATATATACTAATTAAAATTTGGCTTCAGTTGTATCTGCATGCATGCTTATGAATTTTTCAGGGCAATTTTTTTTTTATCTTGAACCACAGCAACTTTTGGTTAACTATAAATGAAACAATGAAGTTGTCCCCAGGTTGGACACTTGCCAGCATAGATTAATTTTATGGCTTAATATCACTGGGTATACTATGTTTATGATATTAAAGCTGTTCGTATAACTGCTTCATCTTTTCATAAATAAGATACTCATTTCCTGAGTTTAAAGTAACTGGTGACAAAGATACTGGAATCTAATTTGGCTAGAAATCAGCTTGCTAAAACAAGTGATATAATGAATGTGCTGTGGGCTTTATTTGTGTTGGTGTGCATAATCTTTAATCACCTTAAAAAATATCAGCAATGAGTAGAGAATAAAAAACTAAGCAAAAGTCTTTGGTTAGGCTGCCATTCTTCAGCCTTAGAAATGAGATCAAAGAGGGTGTTAGGAAAGAAAATAAATGAATCTTCTCTGCCCCTTGAAATGTTCTGTTCATCTTTTATTACTTGGTAATAAGGAGGAATAGAAATCTTGAATTAATTGGTTAATTAGAAAGATTTAGATGAAGTATGTTGTCACTATGTAAATATCTTTTGGAGAGGGAGAGATTGTTTCAGTTCTCATTTGAAATGGGACAGTTGAGAGAGCCATTCTGTAAATCTCCAGGTAATCAACTGCAAGAGAATTAAACCCACAAATTCAGTAATGTTTATCATTCCTCTTTACAATTATTTTTCAGCTTAGACATTTATGGGAGTAATTCTGAGCCCCAACTTTTCTTCCATTTAGTCTTACCCTATCTGCTACCATTAAAATCACACAGAAGAGCACTCGTACAGAAGATCCTTTTCTCTTCATGGTAGATCATAAGAGGTTTTTTACCTACCTACGTCTG